TATTTTATTTATACCTGTCATGAATCAGTGACTCTGTGGTCATAAGAATGAGAAAACTGAGGCTTAAAGCAATTAAGCAATTTGCCCAGCGTGGCACAGATGGACCTGGGATCTGACTCTCTAAGATCGGGGCTCTTCTCTTTGGCTGCCTATTTGCTAAGTTTCCTTAAAAAAATCCTTTGGGGAAGCATGGTGTGCTTAGGTTGGGGGGTGGCTGTTGGAATAGGGGCCAAGGAGCTCTTTTCCCTGAGGGGACCACACAGGGAAAGGAGAGGTAGGGGAGAGACAGATCATTAGAAGCCCCTGTAAGCTGTGTCCCTGGTGGCCGTCATGAAAGGGTTATCCCTACACATTTGATATTTGCAAAAATGTGGGTTCTTTCAGATTCCAAAACTCATTTCCATGACAAAACTCTTGGGAAGAGAAGATGAAGGCCTGGCTTTTGCAGAACAATCTTCCAGCTGTAATGAGGACTGAAGATGGCAATGGGAAAAGGAATTATAATTAGAATATGAAATGGGGAAAATTAATCTATTCCAGTCACTGGTAAGAGGATGTTCTCCTGGCGTTCATGGAAATTCTTAAGCTGTTGTTTCTCCCTACATTTTTTTTCTCACATTTTAAAGCATAGGGAAGGCTGTGTGGTATAAAAGAAAGGTTTTTGACCAAGGAACTGATAAACTGTGAAATATGCATAGAATTGAACTTCATGTGCATCTTTGCTTTGTATGTCTCTGTATGCACATGCAGTATATGTTTGTGTTCACATTTATGTCAGTCATATTTAAATGGCTGCAGACGCGTGGAATGTTTATACAAATTTGGGCACACCCTGCTTTTCTTGTGTGCATGCTGTGGTTATTGTGTGTCCAGTTGTATAAAGGATCTCTGACATGTGCCACACTCACGCTTGTGCTGTGTGTGCGTTGGTTTGTGTTACCTGTGGACATGGTACATGAGTGAGTTGAACGCTGCTGTGTTGAACACTGTGCTGCGTGACATGGGTCCACACAAACATAGGTTTGTGGTGCGTGTGTGTGCTTCCCACGCTGTGCACACGGTGTACATCATGTACCTTTGTGTTCACACAGTGTATGCACTGTGGTGGGTGTAGATGTGGGTGTTTTTGATCTTGTCTGTGCACATGTGGAGGACGAGGTAGCCCTGCTGTGTCTGAGGGCAGAGGTGACTTTGTGACCTCTGCCCTTGGCTTCCAAGTTCATTTACCCAGAAAAGGTCCCAGATGAGGAGGGGCTGAGGGGGTAAGCCCCAGGCCTTAGAGTCCTGGAAGCCAAGCCAGGGGGAGCCTGGGAACCCTCAGTGTCCGCCATCGATTCCTTCATGCCCTCCAAGGGCTCTGATGTGGTGAAACCCTGGCAGAGGTGGGCAGAGAACAGGCCTCCCTGCCCCTTCTGCTCACCACTGCTCGGCAGCTGGTTCTAAGCCCAGCAGGCTCCAGGGCACCGTGCAAGGTGCCCAGGGGTGACTGAACTGAGGAGACCCAGGCCCTGCCTCAGGAACCTCTGCCAACTTCTCAAGTGCTCCTTGAAAGCCAGAAGCAAGCTCTACTCCAGCAAGTGGCAGCTCTTTCCTAGACATTGGTTGAATCAAGGAGTGAATGAATAAGACAGTCTCTGGTGACCTCATGGGAATCCACTGCCCACCCCCTTGCCTGCCCCTGACACACTCGCATCAGAGACCAGGCCCCCTTGCCCTCCATCTCCAGTGCCATTCCCACTGCTCTCTCTGGATAATTCCCCCTCCCCCACTTCACCTTCCGCCAGGCCTTTATTGCTGCTTCCCTGCTGTAAAGACTTCTCTGGGAGTCCAAGAAAAAACCAAAAGGACTCTAACCATCCTCCCAGCTGTGTGATCTTGGACAACTACTTATCCTCTCTCTACCCATTTCCTTGGTTTTAGCAGGGAAAAGAATACTTTCTTCATTGGGTTGTTGTGAGGATTAAATGAGGTCTTTTATGTAAAGCATTTTGCTCAGTGCCAGGAATATTCAGTCACCAAATATTTATTGATTGTCTACTGCGCATATTGGGGAATGAAGCAGATGCTGGCCCCTGCCTTGCGGTGGCTCTGTTCTTACCAGCATTTAATAAATGGTCACCATTCAAAGGTTTTTTGGACATCTTTCCCTCTGTTTCTTATGTATATTCCTATACCATACTGTTCGATTACTATTGCTTTATAAAATGTTTCAAACACTTCATTAAACTTAATGTTCCTCCATCTCCCGTTATTCTTTCTATTAGGGTCTACTTATAAGTTACGTGTGGTTTTAAAAAAGTTTTACTTTTGTCAAAATGATCAATGGCCGTGGTCACACATCAAGTCAAGTACCCAGGAGCTTTTGCTGAAAGTGCCCCTACCCTGCCTAATTTATAGCCCCATCCCTAATGCCAGGCTCTGGGAGATTTGGAGATGACCAGGACACAGTTCCAGCCTCCATGTTGCTTCCACTCTAGGACAAGTGACAAATGTGGAGACAGTCTGTGTTGTAAGAGGAACCGCCAGAGGAGGTGAGAGCATGGCAGACCTCCTGGAGGAGGTAGCCTCTAAGCAGGGTCTTGCAGCATAAGCTCTGGGTGCAGTGTGCTGGATGGAGTCCTGCATTTGGGGTCAGTGCCCAAACTCTAGGCATGGAACAGCCTTTTCTTTTAATCATCCAGCAGTCACTGAGGGGCTCTCCCCGTCCCTGTGCTGAGGAGGCTCTTTGGTGTAACCATCAATCCAACTGCCTAGATGGGAAGATAGGCCCGGTCAGAGGCTATCTGAATGTGGTAGTGGCTGCTTTATTTACTTATTCAACAGACATTTATTGAGTACCTTCTCTGTGCCAGGCACTGTTCTAGGAGCTTGGGAGGCATCAAGGTACAGATAGACAAAGATCCCTGATCCCTGGGAGCCTCCATTTTAGTAGGAGGAATCTAACAGTAAGCAGTGAATATAGTAAACATAGAGAATGCTAGAAGGTAATAGGGGCTATGGAACAAAGACCAAGGGAAGGCGGGGCGAGGACATCGAAAGTGGTGGTAGAAAGGGTGGTGGGCTCTCAGCCCACAGGGGCTGGGGCTGGCATCTGAGCCAGTTGTCAAGCAAAGCTTCTGAGTGAAGGGGGCTGGGTAAACTGACATTTCACATGTTTGTGGGCGTGTGGATTTCTGCAGCCTCTGTGAGGGCAGCTGGGTGATGTCTGTCTAAATTACAAATGCACATACAGTTGGACCCAGCAATTACACAAATGAATCCTACAGATAAACTCACACCCGTGCTCAATGACGGATGCACAGAAATATTTATGGGAGCAATATTGGGATAGCAGAAGACTAGAAACTACCCATGTGCTCAACTGGTTAAATATATGTGTTATATCCATACTGTGGAATACTGGATACAGAAGAAAGAATTATGTTCTGATGTAAAACATTTTCTAAGATGTGTTGCTAAGAGAAAAATAAAGTGCAAAGCTGTATAGCATGCTGTCTGAATAGAATAAATGACTCTAAAATGTGTATATGTAGACAGTCTTTGAAAGGATATAAAAAAGCTGGTAGACATTGCCTCTGGAGAGGGGCAGTGGATGGCTGGGAGGTGGGGTGGTGTTGCTTTTTGTACTCTTGGAATTTTGAACCATGTGAATATGTCCTAATAAATAAATGGTTCAATTAAAATAAAATGGCTGTTTGCTATTGGTGCCCCACCCAGAACCCTTTACTGACCAGCACAGACATCTCCCACCCGCCTTGAGCAGGAGCTGCCTACAAATGGCTCACAGGCAGTATAGTTCTCTGAAGAATTGTCCTTGGCCAATTGGGGGCCACCTTGCTTAGAAGGTTATCCCCTGAGGGCAGCCCATGGCAGATGACTTCCTTACCTGGGCTACAACAGCCACCCCTTGCTTCGTGTTGGAACTAACTCTGCAGTACAATTCATGCCCTAGAGCTCCCCACCAGAACAGGCTGAAGGACGTCTTCAGCCAAGACCACATCCTTGCTTAGCTGCACCCACTCCTGTCTGGCTTGCCCCCCACACTTACAGGTTATTCCTAAGGAGCACTTAATAACCACATGCATCTGAACCCTTGCCTCAGGCTCTGCTTCTAGGGAACCCTATCTAAGACACCTAGCTCAAAGGAAGGGAACTAACTGGAATTAAGTGCTCTCCCTGTTAATGTGTTGAGTCAAGTGCCCTACAGTGCAACATCCTATGAAGAGGGGCCTACAGGCATCACCCTCATTTAACAGATGAGGAATCTCAGAAGTTGAGACACCAGCTTGAGATCACACTTCAGGGCAAAGAGGGAGACAGGGGTCCCAGAGCCCACATCTCTTCCCCTGCACCTGCTCCTGAATTTTTAGGCAGATTTATAGGGAAATCTTCCTGAATCCAGACTTAGCACCTTCTTTGCACACAGGATGTAGTTCCTGTACATGGTCTCTACCAGAGTCCTCACTGCCTGTAGCCAGGCGTGGCCCTAGGGGCTGGGATGGCATAGGTGATGGGCCAAAACCACTCAGGATGGCAGGACCTGGAGGGCATGTCTGGGGAAGGCTGTCATGATCCCAAGGCTCTGGTGTTCTTGGCCTCCCCCAGCACACGGGATCAGCTTTAGCTGATCACCTGATATCATTTTGGTCAAGGGAGGTGTTTGCATACTTCCAAGAATGGGCAGCTCAGCACCTGACAAGGCAGCCTGCTGTGTCTATGGATAAGTTATAGAGGGCAGAAAGTTTTCATTCTAAATGTTTTCATTCTAAATGTGATTAACAGCATGAACCTGAACACTTGAGGGCCATGGAACAGGGGCTGCTCCTTCCACCCTAGAGGTAACCCTGCTGAAATGGGGCCTTGGGCATCCTGGGCTCTGATTTGGCTTCTGCAGCCCCCACAGTCCCCTGCATTCGTCCTGCCTTCCTCGGACTGCTTCTCCTGGTGCCTTCCTGAGAGCATTTTAATCAGAGCTGCTTCTCCCTCTCTCTCTATTCTAGTTTGATGGTGACAGTGCCTACGTGGGGATGAGTGACGGAAACCCAGAGCTCCTGTCAACCAGCCAGGTGGGTGCCCCATCCTTCCTGAACTTAAGATTTGGGCTGGCTGGAGCCGAGCTCTTCCTGGGTGGAGTCGGGGGTGCAGAGTGGGGGCCAGCACAGCCTGCTGCTGTCTTCTCTCTGAATGATCAAGAATAGCAAATAGCAAATCCTTAAAAGGCACAATCGAAGTGGGACTACAGTGTTCTCTGTAAACCAGCTACCTGGCTACTCTTGGCTTAAAATGGTTTGGGAACTGGATGAAACTTGAAACGTATTGCCCACACTCCCCACGCTTGGGGCAGCTTTTCAGCAGCAGTGAGTTGAGGTGCCTGCTGCTCCCTGGTGCCGCCTGCCTCTTGCCACCACACAGCAACCACGGGGACATGTTCTGGTTTGGATGCACACACCCATGCAGAGGCATGCATGGTTCTCCTGCCCGCTGGGAGTTGAAGGCCACAGGGGAGGGTTGTGGACAGGGCACAAGGGAGGAGAGCAGAGGCTTGCTGTGAGGGCCTTGCTGGTAGCAAAGGAAGCAGAGTCATTCCTGGGCAAGGCTGTCCCAACCCCAGCCCGTTGGGGGTCACAGATGCCAGTTGGAATCAGATTTTCCACTGAGAGCCTGGTCTCTGAAAATTAATGTTTCTCTCAGCTGGGAGCATCCTCACTATAGACTGTGATGCCACAGAGGGTCATCGCTGCAGGCTGAGGGTCCAGGCAGGGTCTCCTTGCAGAACCTGATGCCAGGGTGGGCCCTCACCGCAGGCTGGGATCCCAGGACGGGTCCTCACTGCAGGCTGAGATCAGGGAGGGTCCTCACTGCAGGCTGAGATCAGGGAGGGTCCTCACTGCAGGCTGAGATCAGGGAGGGTCCTCACTGCAGGCTGAGATCAGGGAGGGTCCTCACTGCAGGCTGAGATCAGGGAGGGTCCTCACTGCAGGCTGAGATCAGGGAGGGTCCTCACTGCAGGTCAGGACCCTGGGGAAGGTCATCCCTGCAGAATCTGATTGATGCCAGGGAGGGTCCTCACTGCAGGCAGGAGCCCCAGGGACGGTCCTCACTGCAGGCAGGAGCCCCAGGGAGGGTCCTCAGTGCAGGCAGGAGCCCCAGGGAGGGTCCTCACTGTAGGCTGGGCCCTAGGGAGGGTCCTCAGTGCAGACTGGGGCCCCAGGGAGGGTCCTCACTGTAGGCAGGAGCCCCAGGGAGGGTCCTCAGTGCAGGCAGGAGCCCTAGGGAGGGTCCTCAGTGTAGGCTGGAGCCCCAGGGAGGGTCCTCACTGCAGGCAGGAGCCCCAGGGAGGGTCCTCAGTGTAGGCTGGGGCCCCAGGGAGGGTCCTCAGTGTAGGCTGGGGCCCCAGGGAGGGTCCTCAGTGTAGGCAGGACCCCAGGGAGGGTCCTCAGTGCAGGCAGGAGCCCCAGGGAGGGTCCTCAGTGTAGGCAGGAGCCCCAGGGAGGGTCCTCACTGCAGGCGGGAGCCCCAGGGAGGGTCCTCAGTGTAGGCGGGAGCCCCAGGGAGGGTCCTTACTGCAGGCGGGGCTGAGGAGGTCCTTCGAGGCGGGGCGAGGAGGGTCCTCAGTGTAGGCAGGAGCCCCAGGGAGGCCTCACTGCAGGCGGGAGCCCCAGGGAGGGTCCTCAATGCAGGCGGGAGCCCCAGGGAGGGTCCTCAATGGCAGAATGTGATAGCAGGGAGTGTTCTCATTGCAGGCATGGCATTGTGGAGGATGGTTCCTTAAGGCAGTGGTGCTTGCTGGGTGGGACCAGCTCAGGACACTGATTGGAGAGCCAAGGAGGGTTATAGTTGCTGAGAAACTTGGGAAATGGGAGGGCAACCCCGGTCCTGGAGCTGACCTCACCCTCTGTCTCTACCATTGTGGGGGCTATGGCAGTCCAAGTTGGGTGGCCCCTCAGCCATCAGGCCCGGCACATATTTTCCAGCTGGGGCAGTAGAAGCCTATTAACTCACAAATATTTATGTCCCTATTCTGTGACAGGTCCCATGGAGGCCATAGACGAGTAAGACAAGGGCCCGTGGCCCTAGGGGGCATTACTAGTGTGGAAGATACTGTAGTCTTAGTGGGGCATGGAAGCTCTGCTGCAGGGTGCTGCGCCCCCTCTCCTGCCACTGCAGGATCGCTCATGCCAGGGCCACCATACCATGCCCCTCTCTGGCCTGTCCCTGTGTGAGCATCATGCCGCTGCTGCAAAGCTGCCTTTATATTGCATTGACATGCACCAGCATGCGAGACTGGTGGGCAAGACTCCAGGCCCTGAAAGTGGTTATTTTGGAAGAATCCACTGATGTCATTTAATTGTACATAATCAACTGAAATGTCATCTCAGCAGACCAGAGTTAGCCCTGGCATCTCATCTGAGCCTTTTCACAATGTTTAGATAGTATTTTTGTTAACATATTGAGCCCTGGTTTTCAGAACTATATTATGGTGAATTCTGTTCTGGAACCTTCTGGAAAGCATTGGCAATGTCCTTCCACCAAGAAGGGAAAGTGGGACTCAGTGGGGCTGTGTGTCTGCTCTAGGTCTGGGCAGATGGGAGCACAGTATTTTGGAGAGGAGACTTGGTACAAATAAATGTCACTCTCCCCAAACCATTAAAAGTCATATCCTCAACAATTCCCCCCAACACTTTGCAGCTTGCAAAACCTTTTTCTCAATGGTTATTTCAGCTAATCTTCACAACAGCCTCAAGAATGAGTAGTCATTATTGTTCAGTCAATTTTATAGATAATGCAACTGAAGATCCAGGATGCTGGCTGATTCAATCAAGGTGACTCAGCCAGGGAGCACTAGAGCTGGCATTCGAACTTGTGAAGCTCAGACTCAGAGCTCCACAAGCTTCCCTTGCCTTGTCCACTGACTTGCCTCAGCCTAAATGTCACTTCTACAGAGAGCTCTTTGTGACTGCCAAACCCACGTGAGGTCCCCTTTCCATGATTCTCATTAAAATGGCACCAGGTCTTTTTAATTCATGATGTTTATCACTGTGGTCTACTTATCTTGTGATGACTTAGTTAATGCCTGATTTCCACCCTAAACTGACCACCATGGGGAAAGGATCTGGTCTCTCTGGTCCAATGCTATGTATCCCAGTGGGGCATAGTGTCTGGAACACCGAGAGCACTCAGAAAATATTTGTGTAATGCGTGATGGTAGCCCCTGCTCTTCTCTGAACTTCAGTGTTCCTAACAGTGGAACAAGGTGGTTGGACTTCCTGAGGGTCCTTCTAAATCTTTTATGCTGTGACCCAGAGGGTCTCCCTAACTTAGGACTTTATGAAGAAGATATCAAAATTCTCTGAGATTAATTAAATCTAGCCAGTGGCATGAGCCAATCTTAATGTGAACAAATTTGCAATTGCAGTTAGATTTCTTATAGTGTATCTGTTAGTTTTTGCTGCATAACAAACACCTCAAAACTTAGTGGCTTAAAACAACAAATGTTTATATAGTTAATGATTTGGTGGGTCGGCAGTTTAGCTGAGTTCAGTTGTATGGTTCTTCTGGCGTTGCCTAGGATCACTTTAGCAGCAGCAATACGCTGCCAGATCAGCAATGGGCCGGTTGGTTTGGGAGGGTCACCTGTGCTCCACATGGTCTCTCCGCCTCCAGCAGGCTAGCTCCAGGTTGTTCACATGGTAGGAGAAGGGTTCCCAGAGCAGCAAGAGCAGAAGTTGCAAGATTTCTTGAGGTCCAGGCTTGAAATAAACACACATCTACTTCCAACACATTCTGTTGGCCAAAGCCAGTCACAGGACCAGCCTTGAATCAAGGAATGGGGAAATAGCCTCTATCTCTTGGTGGGAAAGGCTGCAAAGTATTGTGGCCTTTTTACAAACTACCACATGTAGGAAACATATGGGATATGATTCATGCTGATTTTATTGAAAAGTAGACTTTTCTGGTACCAATAGTTCCCTACAGCTCAGTGGGACCCTACTGGCTTCTAGTCTTTAATGATGAAAGTCCTATATATTTCCTTCCTCTTTTCCCTGGAGTGCTTCTTGAACTCACGACACACACACACACACACACACACACACACACACACACACACGAACACCCTTTCACAATGTATTGTCTCATCAACTGCAGAAATTGTATTGTCCCAACCCTACTGGATTAATGATTGACATCAACATTTGGGTAAAATGAAGCTTTCACAGCCACTAGAGGATTCAGAGGATAAACACTCTAAATGGAATAAAATATTTTTTGTAAATACAGTTAAATACAAGGTTCACCCAATCAGCAAATGTTTATTGGGCACGTGTTATATGCAAGGCTCTGAATATCAGTGGGAAGCCATTTCTGGAAAACATTTGCTTCCAGAACATCCAATCTTTTTTTTTTTTTTTTTTTTTTTTTTTTTTTTTTTTTGAGACAGAGTCTCACTATCGCCCAGGCTGGAGTGCAGTGGCCAGATCTTGGCTCACTGCAACCTCCACCTCCTGGGTTCAAGTGATTCTCCTGCCTCAGCCTCCCGAGTAGCTGGGGTTACAAGTGCCCATGACCATACCCAGCTGATTTTTTTTTTTTTTTTTTTTTTTGTATTTTTAAGACAAGGTTTCACCATGTTGGCCAGGCTGGTCTTGAACTCCTGACCTTAAGTGATCTGCCCATCTTGGCCTCCCAAAGTGGTGGGATTACAGGTATGAGTCACTATGCCTGGCTCAGAACATTCAAATCATAGTACAAACCTGCTCTTTAATGTAACACTTCTCCTGAAATACCATCTTCTTTACTTAGAAACCGCAGCTGAGACAGAGGCTCCCGTAGGGTATGTATTAGCTGACTGTGTCCCTTTTTGAGAACTTTCACAGCAGCTCTATGGGCTTGAAGTTTTTTCTGCAAATGCATGCTCCATTGTTTGGTTTTTGCAAGTCTCCACAGAAATTTTCGCATAGTTGCTTTAGCTTTTACAAATGATCACACTCCCTCTCCCTCCTTGGACCTTGGGTTACTTTTGTACCAGACTTGCCAGGGTGGCCTGAGAATGAGGTATAATTCTCAG